CGTCCCCTCCTGGAGAGTTCAAAGGGCACCGGGCGCCCAATAACATAAAAAAGAGGCGCGCGAGTCATAAATTCCATCGTCTGAAACAAGAAGTTAGTAATCCGGGCAGTCTGTATCGCCACGAGAAGCTTTACAACGGTGGCGGATGGTCACAGTGTTCAAATGGGGGGGGCCAGGGTTTCCATCCATGGGGGGAAATGCACTGGGGCACCGGTTTCTTTGCAATAAAAAACCCCGAAAAAATATTCTTGCGTGGTTTGCTTGGTCCCGGGAAACGCCCGATACGCAGGCATTTTCCATGGAATAGGGGTGGGAAAAAAAATTGGGGTTGGGGGGGGGGGGGGGGGGGGGGCGGCCACTGTCCGCCTTAGATGTATGCAGAAAGGCAACTATCCCATTTGATAGGAGGGAAATAAAAACAAACCTTCCAGTTTTGCCAACATTGTGTAAATTTCGATTCAGCGTTGTGCGCGGTCGGAAATGAAAACCGTGAGAGGCGAGGCCGAGATCGAGGCCTAGCCCATGGCACACTACCCAGGATTGTCCGGGACCGCTGGCAACATCACACGCTCAGCTTCGTAGTCTTTATGGTGGTCGAGGTGGAGGCTTGAAAAATAAAACACGTTGAGTAACGACGGACACGAGAAATCAAGCCAGACAGGCTTGTCTGCCTGCACACGTGCCGTGGGCGAGGTGAGCGACCGCCTTGGAAACGTGGGAGTATTGGACGACCGGTGTGCGTGTGCGCATAGAGCTGCGTAACTCTGTAGCTACGCCGTGGGTGGGGGACATATGGGGTAAAAATTGTACAAGAATCAAAGCCGAAGCAGGAGACCAACGATCTTGACCGCTTCTCAACAGCAAACCTAGTCAGGAGGCAGAAATCGAAGTGCCTACACTGCCGCCTCGCAAACCACAACGTGCAATAATCTCTTGTCCTTAGAGATCCATGTCAAGCGACAGAGTACCCACGACTGGAGAAAAGGCATCCATCGACGAATCGAAGGTTGCCGTTTTTTTCTTTTTGGTTCGTATCGTACCTCATGGACGTCTTCGCGAAGGCCCTCGGCGAAGTGGCTCAAGTACTCGTACGCAGACTGTTCCGCAAGCTTGAGGGCTTCTTTCGCGGGACCCAGGACCGACTCCGACTTGCTGCAGGTCTCTGGGGGGGTCTGAAACGCGCGCCGGGTGGGGTGATAGAGGCAGTGTGGGAGTTGAGTGGTTTACGGGAGGAGGATATTTCGCGGAACAAAGCACAAGGCCGCCTTTTTGGGCTAGCGACCCACTCCGTCCAAGATGTGTGTTGGTTCATTTCCGGAATCGGGACTGCAGGATATCAACATCAGGATTGTGCTGCAGGGGCAATGCGGGCTTCCCTTAGCGCTAATGCTTTCCGGGCTCTCCGAATGATGCCCAACACCAAATCGATAGCCCTATGTAGTGCAGCCAACAACAAGAACGCATGCCGTGCCACACCCAACTTGAGCCGCATCGTCATCCATGCTCGGTCAAGTGGCAAAGCACGTGTGAAATTGGGGGAAAAGTGAAATCTAGAGCTTGTGAAGCGACAAGCGAGCCATAACAAAGTAACAGCAGGACAAAAGCATAGTGGTAGGTGACTTAGTCATCAACACGCTCCTCGTCTAAAGGTACATAAGTCGCTTCGCCGAGAACGAAGCCAAGCTGATTGGCCGACACCCACTTCCTCCCCGCCAAGCTTGAAAAATCCCATGCTGCGGCTCACCTTCGGCAAGCTACGAGCCCGATTGGCCCTTTGTTGAATCTTGTAGTCCTTCAGGAGGGATTCGTACTCGGCCTGCAGCTCCAAGTGCCTCCCCGCGAGGCTGTCGTACTTCAGGCGCTGACGCACGGTATCGGCGCTGAACTTGCTGCTCAGCAGATCGTACTCAGCCTGTTGCGCCCGACGAAACAGAGGGCACCTCGAAACGGTTACCGAAAATAAAAGTAGAAAACAAGACTTGCTGCTCTACACTTGGACGGCAACGAGCTTGCCCGGGGCTATCCCCCCTTCGTGGGAACGTGCGTGTACGGAGTTGGTCTATACACTTGATCACGGGTCTGCCATCCAGAGGCAAACAAGCCAAGAATTGTGTCTCCGAGCCAGGGGGCGCAGGAGGAACGACTATACACAAGCAGACGGTGTCCAGTTTGGGCACCGTGGGTTACTAACCTGCCACTGACGGGCGGAAAGCCTCTCCGGACCGTCGTCGTTACCGCCGCCGCCGCGCGGAATCGCCCAGTAGGCCGGAAGAACAAGAAGCAGGGACAGCGCCACCGCCACAAGCACCGGGAAGAATCTCTTCTTCACCACGCGCTTCACCGACGCCGGGCCGCGCTCCTGCCACCTCTGCCACGCCGACCTGACCCACGAGCACGCCGCCTCCAGGAGCCCGAGGGCCTCGTGCAGCGCGACTGCTGCGTAGGCGTAGACGAACTCGAAGGCCATGGCCGCGTGGGTGTAGATGAAGTTGTACGCCACGGCACCGTGAGCGTGGAGAAACTTGTACCCCGCGATGGCGTAGGCGCACAGGGCCTTGTAGACTAGGTCCAAGGCCGCCACCACGGCGCCTGCTGCTGCGGCGTCAGGGGCAGCAGCACCGGCGGCGGCGGCGGCGGCGGCGGCGTCCGTTGAAGGCGTGTGAGGGTTCTGGCTCTGCTGCGTCGTAGACGATGGAGGCGCGAAGGCCACGCCGGCGGAGAGACTCGCACTGCCAGGAAAAATGCACGCGCAGCGGCGGTGGGGGCAAGGGGCTTGATTTGATGATGCGGGCGATTAGGTTTGCGTAGGTACCGCGGTTCACGTCCGCCCGTTGTTGTTGCGTTTCTGCCGCCGAGGCGTACGACGGAGGATATATATAGTCTGGTTGGTCGAGACGGGAGGGGGTTCCGTGTTTGTGCCCGCACGAGCTAGAAACGTAGATGGTGATACATATGCGTACGGCGATACGGCCATTTTTTTTTTCTCGCAAAAATAAAAACGAATTCATCTGGATAAACGAGCAATTATGCCATACTCAGTAAGTGTTAGTGACCTGTGTTTCTACCAATCTCCGAGCAGCATACAGCAATACCTCCCCTGCACCGGTACTGCTGCTGGGGAGGGTATCTCCAAAAACGTGTTTGAAAATGTTGCCTCACGGGGGAAACCCGCGGCGGGATTTGCACCCTATGCACACTCACTACCACTACACAAAGTACGCACCGATTAATCAACCTGTTCGGGGTACAGGACCGTACTCGCCGTGAATACCATAGCCCAGATGCTTGTATCTCTATTCACCCTCTACCTGTAATCTGTGTCTTTTTCAAACGTTTCGTTTAGGTGCCACCCTTGCAGCGTGCCAAAAATTTCATCAAAGTCGCTACGCATGGGCACTTGGCCGACACGAAACGCTGATAAATAACGATAGTGAGGGCCACCACCATATTGGGGTCGAAACTGCAACAGATGTGCGCCTGTTGCAGTTTCGACCCTAATATGATGGCGGCCCTCACTATCGTTACTATCAGCGTTTCGTATCGACCAGGCACCTCCACTGATCGTCATTGGAGCTGAACGAGGCGCGCCGACGCGAAGCGACTTTGGTCGTGACAGTTGGTGAAGGCTATATGCCGCCCCTGGACCGCCTGGCACGCAGCAGGAAGCACAACGATACAACGAGGCGGGAGTGCACCCGGCTACAGCCGGGAAAATGATTGTCGCAGGTGACGTAAGATATCACACACCCAGGATCGATCTCAACGCTCGATTACTTGGTAAGAAAAAACAGTGTGAGTGACGGTGCCAGAAATGGCAGCGTTGGAGCTGTCTCGTCGAGAGCTTTCCGAAAATGTATCATTTTTGATGTCGGCATCCTCCTCCTCGTCGTGGAACGCGAACAAGAGTTCGTTTAATTATTGCTTACAAAGAACACAACAAATCCATCTCTGCCACAGAAAATAGTCCGCGGCAGATTAACAATGAATACATAGCGTTGGTAGGTCAACAATGAATACATAGCGTTGTACGGTGTGACCAACTTGTATTCTACGGTTCCCCGAGGAGCACACAGCGATATCTCCCCTGGCTAACAGGCTCGACAAGACAGGTTCGAAATTCGGGCACGCCACGCCCACGCATAATTCGCTGCTGCGCTGATACAGCCAGCTCTGTTGACGCAGAACAAAATCATTTCAAAATTGGCGTTCTCGCTCGAGTGCGTTGCGTGCGAAATACATAAGCTACGCCAATCAGCAGAGGGTGGCACGCCGTTCCCTCTGATACGCACTGCAAACCTTAGCCAAGGCCTCTCTCTCTCTCTCTCTCTCTCTCTCTCTCTCTCTCTCTCTCTCTCTCTCTCTCTCTCTCTCTCTCCCTCTCTCGCTCTCGCTCTACCTCCAGTATCTCTCCCGCTCTACCTCCTGCCTCTCTCTACCTCTGTATTAATATCGCTTCCTTCTTTACAACTATTATAATAGACTATATTCGGCAAAATGCTACCTATACACCTTTGTACATACTGTAGTCTAGTATGAATAGATCTTCCCACGGAGAAACTGTCTCCAGGTACACAAAAGGAACGATACCGTAGCAACATTCACCAGGAAGAAATGTTGACGCACCGGGCGGCTGCTGAAGAGCCGTGATCCAAACAGCGAGCTGAACAAGCCCGAAGAAAGCGAGTGGGGGGATATCAGAGCCAGCTCTCTCATGGTGAAGCCGCACCCAAGAAGAGTGTCAGCGGTAAGGTTTGCTTGTTGTGTCTCTTCGAAAAAGTTGAGGATCTGAGTTGAACTGCTGTTGAAGTGCGGTCGGGGGAAGGAACAAAAATAATGAAGTCGAGTTTCGGAAGCCTTCTCCCCTCTGTCAAGTAACAGGGGGGGTGACCCCACCATCAAGACCTACCCTAGAGCAGGAAACGCTCCCGGCGAAAAAGGCGCAGCATCTTGTCCTGCTGGCTCCGCCCCGCTGTCCTGCAGGTTCAACCCGTCATCATCGACCACTACGAATTCCTCTTCTCCCTGGGGGATGGCGCGAGTATCACCTGTACCGCTTTGAGTCCTCTCTCCTCCCATGTCGTTCGCGTGTTTGCTGAAAAGGCGGGTGCTCTTCCTCTCGATAGAGGGAGACGGGGGGGGTGTCTATCAGAATTTGGTAAGAAGAAACTTGAAACTTGAGATCTGTCCTTCGCGTCGCGGGCCTGGTTCAGCTACAGCAATCTACGGTTTCGAGAGGCTCCGTACGATGTTTATCGGAACTCAATTTCCCATGCACATACCCCCCCCCCCCCGTCTCCTTGACCTTGCTGACACATTGCTGTGTCGGTGTATCGAGCAACAAACCTTATCTGATCTGCATACAGAAACCATGAAGGCTGTCGACACCACGATCGCGCTTTTCACTTTAGCCGCGCTGTCGCCGGCGGCAGCGTTTGTTCCGTCTGCGGCAAGCAGGGCGGCACTCGGACGCACTCGAGGTGAGCGAGCCCTGCTACGTTACCTACGTACGCGGTGTGTTTTCATGTTTGTTCGCCCCCCCCCGCTCGCTCTTTTCGGTGTTAACAACGAGAGCGTGCCTTGCCTGACCCTGTCTCGGTGCCGGGAGTTGACTCTTCGCTTCTAGCTGTAAGTGTGGGGTATCGGTAGAGACAAGTGGGAACTCATCCGGCGGCAATCGTGTGTGTGTACAGCGTACGAGGGGTGGGTGTCTCTATCGTACCGGTAGAGAACAACGGGCTGCTGCTGTGCTTGCTACAGCCGGATAGCAGCAGCCGAAGACGGAGCTCATGGCATGATGCCATCTCAGGAGGTTCCCCTATTCTCTTGTCCCGTGTGTGTTGCTTGCTGGCTTAGAACAAACGAGTCTAGATCCCTAACGTGATGTAAGATAGCAAGCCTTTGAGCTACATAAGTCTACATGCGTCGATTTGTAGACAGATCCACCGCAGTCGTGTCAGAGTGCATCATATGACGCATGGCCTGTCCATTCCCGCATTCCCACCCGAGATGGTGCGTGGAACTCTTTCTCTGTGTTTTTTTCCCGATACTTCACGCACCGAAACGGCCGCGGATTCTCGATGAGTGCTCACAATCTTTCGATCAGCAATCTTAACGGTGCGATTACCTTCTTCAGGGTGATCTCGCGGCATTCACAATATTCACGTGCGGTGTGACATGACGGTTGAAAGTTGATTCGTGGCGGGGGGTCTGCGTCCCAAGCAGTCGACCCACGAGTCTAATGTTGTAATACCAGTACACGCTTGTGGAACACATTTAGTTGCCATGGGTTTATCCTTTCCAAGGTAACGAACTCTTGGGATTGCTCAGCTGTCCGTGGAATGGTGAAGATGAGCCGCTGTTGCAGGATACAAACGATCTGCCACCGTGTACAACGGACGCACATGTATTTAGCGTGCTGTCTACCAGCAGACTGCTGTAGACACCAACTTCCGATTATTCATCGCCCCCGCCCCCCCCCCCCAAAAAAAACAGGACTTGAGGACGGGGGACCCTTATCGTATGTACACCACCATCGTAGAGAATGTTTCCAATCACTCCGCCGTCGTCCCCTCTTGTCCGGCCTCTCAACGTCCATGCGCCAGCGTTGCCCCAAAAGTCTCAACCGACCTGCGCCCCCGCGGACAAGTCCTCGGCGGTGTTCCACAGCGGTAAGGGGGCGTCGGCGCTGTTTGGGACGGGACCGTCCTACACCGACGTCGTGTCGGAGACTGAGGGGGATGAGGATGGGGATGAGGAGGGGGGAAAGAAGAAGAAGAAGAAGAAGGACAAGAAGAGCGGTGGAGACAAGGAGAAGGTGATGGGCTTGGACTGCTGTCGTAGCCGCAGTCGCATGGGTTCGGAAGCAGAAAGGTCGATGTCCCTGGGTGAAGCGCTACTCCCATTAATTTATCTCTCTGTAGACATGCGAGGTGTTATTTCGACCGTTTCTGCTCACGTGTGTCCAACTCGCAGAATAGTAGAAAACGAAATGCCGAGGCAGACGTAGCAAACAGCGCAACTTGTGCTTGCACTGCTACTGCTGTGTGCATCCTCTGCGGGCTTTCTGTTGCACGAAGCAGCAACATCTGTGAAGGCCTGATTGATTTGTAGCAAGTTTTGACTGCATCATTGAGAAACTATCGCAGACTTGATTACGAGGTTAAAACATTGCCAAGCCGATAGGGGCGGCTGGAAGTTCTTGATTCGCGCCGCAACTCAGACCTACCACCATTCGCAGTAGCGCTACCGTCGTTGTTTGCGCCTCTCGTTACACACAAGATGGGTACCTTTCCTGTTCAACTACAGTATCGTGCTCTTTGCCGTGACACCAAAGCCTGCACGCTCGATTTCGATTCTCCGAGCTACGAAGAGTATCATTAAAAGCCGAGACACGGTTGACAAGGACCCTACCGTAGTACCTTGCGTTGCACAGCGGATGCAACCATCTATCACCAAATGCGAGCTAGATTATTTGCCGTCAATTTGTTTTTTTTTACCGGGTCTCCATGTTCTTTGCATCGTTTCGTGTGTACGCGCGCCCGCGTGTATGTCTGCTGTCCATCGGACGCGCACAAATCGCATTTCGTGGCGTTCTTGTAGAAAGACGGAACATGCTGCAAGAACACCTTCTCCAAAATCCAAGGAGAACATCACGGGCGCCTGCCTCGCCCTTGAATCGTGCAAAAGGTGGAGGTTTCCCGTGGTTAGACTATCATCTCCAACGGGTAGTCTTTCTGTGAGGTTACATATACTTTCTCAAGAGCTGGAGGTTTACCCCTGCACGATTGTCGCGCTTGACTTCAACCAAGTTCCGTTCCCTCTTGTATCGCGTCGTTCCACGTTAGGTGAAGCTGGAAGCTGAGGTTACCTTCTTTGAGGGGGGTCCGGATCCCTCCGAGGTGGTGGCCCCCGCTGTGTCCATCCTGACGGTCATCGGGATCGTGCCCTTCTCGGCGGCGCTGGCTCGCCAGGCCTGGGTGAAGTACACTCTCACTTCACGACGCATCAAGGTAAGATTTCGGGACGAAGCCGGGTATTTGCGGGGGGGGGGGGGGGGGGGGGGGGGGGGGCCTTTTTTTTTTTTTTTCCTTTAGGGGAAAAAAATTTAGGGGGGGGGGGAACCAAAACCGGGGCCCCCCGAATCTTAAAAAAGGTAACCCCCCCCCCCCAAAAAAGGGGGGGGGGAGCCCCGGGGTTTTCCCCGGGCCGGGTTCTTTTAAACACAAAA